TATAATAGATAGATAGATAGATAGATAGATAGATAGATAGATAGATAGATAGATAGATAGATAGATAGATAGATAGATAGATAGATAGAGATAAACAGCACCTTTCATATCGGTGAGTTGTTTTTTTTAATGGAATGGCCGATGTCTGATATTTCACTTTATCGCTATATCGGCCGATACGATGCCGATAATATCGTGCATCCCTACCTAAGAGAGAGTCCAGCTTACCTGTGGAATAAACTCATTTCGACCGCTTGTGTCCAGGATCTTGCTCTTTCAGTCACTAATGGCTAAAAACTAAGCCGTGTTTGCAATATTTGTAGAAACAACAAATAAAAAGATCCTTTCTAGAAAAGTAGCCTTAAGCCATTCAGAAAGTTAACTAGATAAAGGAGGAGTCAGGTAGGATGTTATTTATGACTTTATTCACCAATCCTGTTTCAAAATGACCAGAATATCCTTTTAAACAATGAAAGCAATTAACATCATACGATTTAAGGTTACCTGCAGATGTTTCAGCTGCCTGTGTTTTGGTGGCAAAATGCCTTCACACCCGTCAAAACACAAACAACGTGAATAAAAATATTGTAAATCCAGATGTTTTTTTGGACAGCCTCACCTCACAGTCATTGTCAGACGTGTCTCCGGAGGTAAACCGGCTGTGGGAGTCCCTCTGCAGCATGACCTCTGACCTGGATCAAGCACTCACATTGACCTACAGGGACACAAAGACATGGCTGGTGAAACATATTTCACCCATGTTGTTGCAGCTCACTTGTTTCCCTCGGAGCCACTTGTTTGTGCCATGGCAGTGAATCACGCAGCCTCTTGGTGTAGAAGTGATGCAGTCTTTACGCAGACAGCGACGTTATGAATCTCTGGTTTGTCACTACCTCACGAACATCTGTGTCCGCACTCATTACGTAACGGGCATCAATCACCGTCAGGCAGCCTGAGAACTTTTCGCGTACGCAGAAGACAAGGAAAGACGCAGCCACGTCTGGATGAGCGCTCACATCTGAACATTCTTGCGTACATTCGTTTAAAAATAGCAACGAAATCCCCGATAACGCACAGTAGTGACTGAGCTACAGAGAAGAAAAGAAAAAAAGATCAGAGTAACGCATCTTACCTTTAAAAGCATCCCAGGACGTGGAAAAAAGCCACGAAGAAGAGTGGAGTTCTACACGATGAGCAGCGGCGGGATGCGGCGGTGCGTGTCATTGTGGCGCGGGGAAGCCGTGAGCTCGCGCTGCTCGCGTGCGTTTGACATTGTGGCAAATCCTCTGAGTGACGTCAGCCCCCGGGTGATGACGGGCAGCTACAGTCAGACCGCGGGGGCGCGCGCTCAGTCACTCAGTAACATCAAAGAGACCCAAAACAAGGCGCGAGCGCAGAGGAAGAGAAGAGGAATTTCTGTTCGGGGCTTTTCAAAGTAAGTTTGGGTTTTCAAAATAAAAAGCATATGAATTGGTAATTTGATTGTAACTGACCTTAATGTCTTTGCACATATCTGTGCATATGTCTGTCTGTTAGCAAAATATTTCATGAACCTGAGTGTATTTTAATGAAACAGGAAATGATCACTTGATGGGACAACTGGTTTTGGAGTCAACCCAATAAAAAAAGACAGCCCCAGTCAGGAGTAGGGGAAACACAAAAAGGCTACAATCTATCAATTTTACAAAAGACAAGTTAAAATCGAGAGTTATTGTCAATACACAATTTGAGCCGTACACATTGATTTATATGTTTGCAAACATATAAATTAAAAGCTTGACATTCACAGCTTGTGGTTTAAAGAAAATTATAGGTTTGTGTTTAGTTAGAGCTGAAAAAAGGGTTGGGTTTAAACATGCCAAAATTCAGCTCAACAAATGTGTGTTAATCAATTTTCCTAGTTTACTGCAATACATTTTGGTTAGCTTCTTCCGATTCCATCCCAAAAGACACAAATAAAAAAGCCTGTTTTGAATGCACAGGAAGTTAAGTAAAGATTTCCCAGTGGGAGAGTTACACCAGTCGATTTTCCCCCAAATATTTATTTTCCTTTCCCTTTTCCATCGTTTCTTATCTCCATCAGAGCTGACTGTTCTGACCTGTTAACATCTTCATCCAAACAAAACAAAAGCAAACCAAGAGCTCAAAGAAATGGACAAGAACGAGATGGTTCCTACAAGGCAACACAGCTCGGTACCTCCTAACATTTGTCTGCACAAGTCAGAAAAAGTCAATCTATTTCATAGTGCAATGCCATAATAGAGCTTCAAGATTTGGAGATAAAATTGCATCCGGCTAAAAGAATTGTTGCTCCTGGTTTTTCATGATCTCATCTAAAAGCAAAGCTAAGATCATCTTGTGCTGAGAAATGATGGTTTAGGAAAAGACACTGAGTAGCAGTTGGTTTATGAGTAGTGGAAAAACTCTCAACTACTACACAAGATAGTAGCACAACACTGTGTCTGTCAACTTCACTGAGTTACCGCTATTTTTTGTGTTTTTAGCATGAGCTGGCTTCGGCAGCCATCTTGAACTGGTTCAGTTCCCAAAGGTGATCAGCTGATGTACAGTACGTTCAAAGATTATTTCCTGAAAGTTCCATCAAAATCCATCCAGTGCGTCATGACATATTGTGCTACCAGTCATTTAAAGTTTACTTTTAATAATAAATGGTCACAATATAGCAACAAAAAAAAAAGTACAACAACAAGGGCAGCACGGTGGCGCAGTTGGTAGAGCTGCCACCTCTCAGCGAGAAGTAAGCCGGATCGAAACCTGGCCAGGGGGACCTTTCTGGGTGGAGTTTGCATGTTCTCTCTGGTCATGTGTGGGTTTTCCCCGGGTACTCCGGTTTCCTCCCACTGTCCACAGACCAAAAACATGTATTGGCTGATTGGTAACTCTAAATTGTGAATGGTTGAGTGAGAGAGTGAATGTTTGTTTGTCTCTATGTGTCCCTGTGATGGACTGGAGACCTGTCCAGGGTGTCCCTCACCTCTCACACAGTGATAGCTGGACACGGGCACCAGTGACCCCCGTGACCGGAAAACGAATAAGCAGGTAAAGATAATGGATTGATGGACGGATGGATGGATGGATCTTGTACATCAAACATCTTGTTGTACAGGTCTCTCTTGTAAATGAGTCCTCGAGGCTCAATGAGACTAACCTGTATAAATAAATGTTGAATAAATCTTGTCGGTTAGTGCTCCGAATATATGTTGAGGATTAGTCTCAGCTACTACCACACAAACTTGCAGGTCAGTATCTGTAAAACTGAATGGGTCAGAGTCATTTTTGTGTGTTTATGACCAATGTTCCTTCCTGCTTATATTTTATCTGCAGCCAAGTTTGAGATCAGAATGCTAACTTGGTTTTGTGAACCCTCCAATCATCAGATCCAAAGAAAGGAGAGTACAGACTGTAAATAGCATCCATTATCTTTACCTACTTCTTCCTTGTTCAGGTTGTGGGGAGCACTGGTGTCCATGTCCAGCCATCACTGCGCGAAAGGCAGGGGACACCCTGGACATGTCGCAAGTCCATCACTCTCTCACTCACACCTAGGGACAATTTAGAGTTACCAATCAGCTTAACATGCATGTTTTTGGTGTGTGGGAGGAAACCAGAGTACCCAGAGAAAACCCACACATGAACGAGAACATGCAAACTCCACCCAGAAAGGCCCCATGCCAGGATTTGAACAAGAGAGACCTGCTCGCTGAGAGGTGGCAGCTCTACCAACTGAGCCACCGTGCTGCCACTGTAAATATCATCACTGACTATGCTCTAGTGTTGTGTTATGTGTTCTGAGGTCATGTGGTACCGTTACTGTCTTTAAGGTAACCAAGACTTTCCATTGCTTAGACAAAAAAATGGGTTGCATGAAAAACTGTTGCATATTCAGTAATGTGTTATCCTATTGCCAGAGAAACAACTAAAACATGCAGGATGGTGGCCCTCAAGGACAAGGATTGGACACCACTGCTCTAGTTTGAATATTCCCTTCAATTGACCGAATCAAAGAACAAGTTCCATAACTCTGGCATCTAAAGAATATCAAACGTGGACCAGTAATGTGTCATTTGCTCCATGATCGTTATCTTGGTACAGTGAATGTCAGACCCCACAGTCAGTAGTTGCTGTGGGAGCCACAGAGGAGCAGCTAAAAAGAGATGCATTCATTTATTTACACAACCACACTGAGACACATACAGAGACATGGGTCATCCCAGACACCATCAATGGAAAACCTCCGGAAATGTTCTATTCCCACTGAGGATCTGTTGGTTTTACTGCATGTGCCACATCATCACCAAAACCACTGCAGCTGCAATTCAAATTATATCTGGTCACTAAACAAATCCACTTTATGTTTAACTCGTGAGTTTCAGCAGATTTATTATGCAATTGCAAAAGGTAGACACAAATGTTTTTGTCCTCGTCTTTGTGTAGGTGTGTGTCTGTTAGCAAAATAGCTCACGAATCACATAGATTTCAGTGAAACCTGTACAATGGAATCATTGGATGTACATCTACAACTGAATCAACTTTAGAGTCAACCTTCTTCAAGATGGCTGTCAAAAATGGCTATAATTCATTCAATTTTACTAATGTTGACATAATGTTTGGTGCGGTAGTAGCTGAGAGTCATCCCTAACATATATTATAAGCATTAACCGATCGTGCAAGATATTTGTTTAAAACTTTGGTATGGCAATATGCGTTCTTTCAAGAATTGCTACTTTCATCTTTAAAGCATTGACTATGCATTTTTTGCAGGGGTCTCAGTCCGTAAATAAATAAATGGTAAATGGTAAATAGAGCTAATTTCAGCTGAAATGTCCCATGAGTGTGGCTGCTGCCTGTAGACAGCCGGGCCACTGGCTGAGATAAAGTGTAATTATCAGAGACCTAATGGCCGAGGGAGGGATCCACATCAGGGCTGCATTTGGACCATGCAAACGACCTCTGAGAACACAACTGTAGACTGTTGTATAGTTCCTTCAGCACTGAAAAATGTACATATTCACTGCATGTTTGGGATCTGTTTTTAACCATTTTTCCTTGCAATGTTTTTGCAACCTCAAGGTTTTAGGGTTTGTTTTTGTTCGCTTGTCAGAGTTCTCCCTCCCACTTAAAGAGCTATGTAAGAACAATATATCTTCATGAAATTGACAGAGGAATGAAAAGTAAGAGGAATGAAGATGTGTGTTATCTGCAGAAGACGGAAATACCTACTCTACATGCGCAGCTAGAAGGGTTTCTGTATGGCTATACCAGTACAAACATGAGATGCAGAGACGATAAGGAAATTAAAGGAAAGGGTGCAGCTCAAATTAACCGAAAATGATGCATCAGGGCATCCCTCTCCCTGAACTGAAATTCTCGGGGACTGTCACTCCTAAAACGACTGAGGACGATGTGGACAAAGTAACTGCAGAGGATTACCATTTCAGAAATCTGGAGGAGCTGCAGGAATAAAGGCACTTCTTTATTTTTTTCCCTCCGGTCAGAACTCGCAAAAAGTAAAAAAAATTTCTCAGAGTTTGCAGGTTTCTAGCCAATAAAGCAGAACAACAATGGACGTTTGGATCAGATGAGAGCCGTCGATTTGGGTTTGAGGGACAAACACGGCAGACGAGGCAATTACAGGTTCCAATGAAGTGAAAACAGCCAGAGGTGGCTCAGACGTTGTGATTTGGGCGTGTGAGCTATGCGCTCCTGTGGTGGACAAGTGAGGCAGAGCATCCACAGATCTTCACACAGAGTTTTAATTTCTGTGAGGAGGTGGCTGGAGACACAGTAAGAAGAAGAAATAAGGAAAGTTTGAAGTTCTACTGTTGTGTGGAAGATACAGACCCAAAGAATACTATTTGCTTTGACCAAGCCTTTAATTTTTGGGGGTAAGAGGAAGAAGCATCCTTGGGAGTCTTTTTTGGATTAGGTTTTTAAAATGAAAGGGTCGGATCAAACCAAGGACTGGACCTGGGACTTTTCGTGGGATACGGTCCTAAAACCAGCCGCCCGTCTTTGCCTCAACACCTTGGACTTCTCAGACCTCTGGGATGATGAAGACACTGGAGAGAACCAAGAGACTCAACCATCAAGTTCAATATCAACATGTCCAAAATGGACCCTAGCACCTCCTCCTCCCCCTCCCCCTCCCCCTCTTCCTCCACCACTGCCTCCTTTAGCAACACCTTTACTAGGTACCCCAAAAGGTGAGGTCAG